CTCAAATAACAATAAACCGACAAAAGTAATCCGAATAAACAAAACTAGGAAACTGCGGGTTTCCATCATTCCCGCCTCCTTGGAAACAACCTTGTCCTCAAGGTTGACTTGGACTCACTGCTTCTCTTCCAAGGCCTCCATCGCCTCGTCCTCTGCTTCATCTTCCCAACGTCCCACCATCATCATCACATCAGGCCTTGCACACTGGTGACCGAAAGTGAACCGCTCGTTGCAGTTGAAGCACTTACCCTCCCGGCGCTTCTGTTCAATCTCAGTGGGTGTCAACCTGACGAAGCCCTTAGGGGGAGCACGAGGACCTGGTCTCGGCCCTGACGCCGCCGGTGGAGGAGGCGGATCTCCTCCTGCAGCTCCGGTTCTTGCTCCTGCAACCGCGCTACCACCCCTACTGCCCCCCGGGTTGTTGCTCCCTCCTCCGCTCGGCCTCGGGTAACGGCCGATGACGCTCCTCCAACTCGCCAGTTCTTCCTCCTTGTGACCTGCATAATGGAAAGCAGTTATTACCGAGTCGGGTTCTAACACCCGGACAGCTGTAGCTACCTCCGGCTTTAGGCCAACCAAACATAGGCCCACCAGTGTCTCTTCCGGAACCCCCTTGCACTGGTTCCCCAGCTTGAGAAACTCCGACCGATATTCCGCCACTGTCCTAGTCTGCCTCAACTTAGCTAGCTGCTCGGGGGCCCATCCCTCAGATTTGCCGAACTGATAGCGGAGTTCCTCTTGGAACATCAGCCACGTGATCAAAGTCCCCGTAGCAACGTACAACCTCTCCAACCACTCCCACCAATGCAGCGCGTCACCTTCCAAGTAGAAAGATGCCAGGTTCGCCTTTCGCTCCTCCCGAGTCGGGTGCTTCTTAAACCACCTATCAGCTGCATACAACCACAACCCTGCATCCTCTTGACCATTGAATCTCGGAAATTCAATGGTTGGAGGCTTAGCTCTGAAAACCAAATCATCATCCACATCATTAAAGAGGTCATACCCATCATCAGTGGCGGAGCCACATGGAGAGGAGGGGGTGCTTTGCACCCCCCTTGGCTTTGGAGAAAAAATTTCCGAGTAGGGGTATATACAAATTCCAACCAATGACCATTCAGTTGAAGGAAGAATTTTTTATCATTTCGATCGAGTGAGTTTTGTTATGTAATGCACTTTCGTCTTTATTTATAGTAATAAATTTTTGTCTTTTGTTTAAACTCGCTCATTTTTTTTTTAGCTCTACAACAGATAAATTTCTTGTCTTTTGTTTAAACAAAGTTGAAAGTGAAGAAGTACCAATTGAAGTTCACTTGTTTGTTTCACAAAATCAATTCCAAGGTACTTCTGAGTTCTAATTTGTAATATTTGATGAATGGAAGTCTTGATTTGTATGTACTGAACTTATTTGTTTGATGTTGTAACCGGTGTACGTGAAACTATTTTGATGTAATTGTGTGAATTTAGAGTATTGCGTTGTTGGCTTTTTGTTTAATTTAAAGTTGACTTTTCTATTGTATATGTGATTTTTTATGATATGATAAAGACACCCGCTTGGCCAATTTCCTGGCTCCGCCACTGCCCATCATACCTTCCACCGTGCAGATTTCTCGGTCCTCGGTCCCTGAACTCGGCTCCATCCTCGTCTCGGGGTGGCCCGACATACCAGCTCCTCGAGTCAGGGGTTACTCGCCCTGGTTCGTCTGGTCTCATGCGCGATGGATGGAAGGCTCCTGCCTCACTATACGAACCGCGATCGCCCCCAGGGAACCCCAGATGCTGCCCGCCCTGCGGTTGGTTACCCATGCCCGGTTCGAAGCCAGTTGGGCCGGTCGGACCGGTTCTGGTCAGACCGTTTTGACCAGTTCTGTTTGGACTAGTTGGGCCAGTTCTGGTCCACCCGTCCCGCCCGGTCTGATGCAACCCGAACCCGTACTGGTTGATCGCCCACCTCGGTTCTGACCCTTCTGCCCTCTGGTTGGGTTCGGCCCACCAGACTAAGCTCATCTTCTTTCGTAGTAGGTTCTGGGCTCAACCATCCTAGCCCGTTAGGAACCCAGGCCCAACTCCCCTCTTCTTCATGGGTCAGTGGGCCCACATTGTCATTGCCCGGCATTTTGGCTTTGCCCTTCCGAGCCGCCATCTCTTGGGTCGTCGGGGTTGGAAGTAGGCCCACCTCTCTGTTGGGCCCAAGGTGCACTTGGCCCCCATGCACGATCTCCCGCCTTAGCCCGGTGTCCGAGGCGGCCGACCAGCCTGCTCCCGGGACCACTGCCGCCGCCGCCGTCTTCGCGGCTCCGACCGTCGCCGGCTGACTCTCCGCCGCCGTTGTCTCTCCCATCACCGCCGCTGCGATCGGCCCTCCTCCCTCTTCCCGCTCGAGATCTACCGGGGTCTCGATTCTCGGCGGATTGCCTTGTCTCGCCTCTGCATCCCGCGTCAGTTTGCTTAGGGCCCGCCGAATTTCATCCATCTCTTCGCGACGTCTCTCCTCCGCTATCTCCCGCTCCACCATCAGTCTCTTCATAGTAACCTGGAGTTCGCCCACGGCGATCTGGATTTCTTTCCGCCCGGTCTCGTCCACCACCCTGGCCGTCTCCCCCGCCGTAGCAGCCGCCGCAGCAGCCGTCGCCGGACCGCCCGCATCGCCGCTGCCCTGCCCCGTCGCCGCGGTGGTCGCGGTCGCCTTCTCCCGGGCCGCCGCCTCCGCGGCTTTCTCCGCAGGCTTCTGAGATTTCGTCACCGCCATAACGCGATCCTGCTCTTGGTTGATTTGCTTTTATCAGAACCGGGCTCTGATACCAAATGATAGAAACCTAAAATTAGGTTCTATCGAATTTAGTGATTTGGGCAAAGAATGGATTACCAAGGTGGTGATCTAGGGTTGATTATGGGATTAAGGTGGAAGGGGGAATTGGAAATTGAGGGGAGGGGAAAGGGGGAGTTGTTGTCGCAACTACAGAAGAGAGGGGGAAGAGGAATTTGGGTCGGCAGAGAGAGAGAGAGAGAGGAAGGAAGAGGGGATTGAGAGTTTAGGTTTAGGGTATAATTCTTGCTTAGTGGTTAATTTCAATGTACAAGTAGTTTATATAAAGAATAGAAATTCCCTATCGCTACCCGAATTATTAAATAACAACCAATATGCCCCAAAAATCCTCAAAGAACAATAAACCGACAAAAGTAATCTGAATAAACAAAACTAGAAAACTGCGGGTTTCTATTAGCTACACTGGAGATAATGGAACATTTGTTCTTTGACTGTCCGGTGGCTAGGGCTCTGTGGACTCAGTTTGGCTTAGATTCTCTTGGCGAAGGATTGCCCGTCATACATTCCCCCTCTTCCTAAAGAAACTGTTGTCTATCTTACTTAAACCCTCACAGTTTATGGCGGTAATTGCTGTCATGTGGAGGATATGGCGATCCCGAAATTGGGTGGTCTTTGAAGGGAAGCAGTTCGGAATTCTTGCTTTATTGAGGCAGTATAATCAACAGGTAGGGGAATGGCTCTACCTGCCTAGGGATCCTCAGCCTTCCTTTCAGTCCCCTCCTAGTCCTCCTATATTGGAAGTAGATGGCTCCGGGGGGCCTGTGTGTCGTTGGGATGGGCTGTTCGAAGAGGGTCTCACTCTGCGGGGAGAATGGTAATCTTCAATGAGGTGGGGGTGAAACTCTGGGCGGCGGGGGTGCAGTTCTCTTTACTGGATGATCCAATGATGGTTGAGCTCCTTACTCTTCGGGAAGCAGTCCGTTGGTGCTTAGCGCATGAATTTTTGGCAATGCGGTTTGAAGGGGGCGTCAAGGTGGTCATTGATAAAATCTGTCGGGCTGATGTGCGGGATAGTCGAGTAGGGGCTATTTTGGAGGAAATGGTACAGGTTTTCAGGACAAATCCGGGCTTCAGTGTGCGATTTGTAGGTCGGGGTGACAATAGGGTAGCTCATATGCTAGCTAGACATGTCTTGTCTTTGTTCCCGACTACGTGTAGTTATTTTGGTTTTCAGACCTGGCTGAATTCCTGAATGTAACTATCGATTTGTTTCTATCAATATATGATTATCTTTTGTAAAAAAAAAAATAGTATGGAAATTACTTTCAACCACGAAATAATTAGTATGTCTCCCTTTTGGTTGCGGCGGGCCTCGTTAATGACAGCCATGGGAGTCTGGTGACTTTGGAAGACTGAAAGAAAACTTTGGATTCCATGAGCCGAGGAGAGGAGATGGAGACATGGAGTGTTGGGAAATTGGGAATTTGATGGGTCCTTCATTATTATTATTATTTTCTTTTTTGTTTCTTCTATTTTTATTGACTTTTGTCTCTTCATCATCAACGCCCCTCCTTAGTCGACGGCTATATGATAGAAAATCTGACTCTTTTAGGCACTCTCTAGTCTCTCCACCACTTTGACAAATGACAAATCCTCAATTTCTTGAGCCTTACGCACTTTCTACTTTATAGGGCACCTTTCACTAAAACACAAAATCGTAACTCTACCAGACTACCTAACTCTTTTTTTTTAGTGTTACGTAGTTGAAAGTGGGAAATCTGTACGGTTACGTAGATTTAACAAATGGTATAGTTCGACTCGTGATATAATTGATTTTTATTGGTTCATGCTTTGACGATGTTAATATTCGGCATAAATATAGAGAACGAAATTGTGTTGTTGATTTCTTACAAACTGGGTGTCACGAGAATTTAATGGGATGCTCCGTGATTGATCTTGAGGAGCGTGATTTGTATAACTAATTATTTCGTGACGTTATCAAGGTATCTGAACCTCGTATGATTATTAGTAAGGGTTATTGTGCCCTTCTGCACCCGTCTTTTCACAAAATAAAAATATGAATAAGATGAATAATCATTAACATCAAATGAATTTAAGCACATATTAAACATATTTGAATAAAAATTATTTACAATTAATATTCATATTTAAATAAAATACAATATTTCAAACAAATTAACAAATATAAATATTTAAATACAATATTTAACCTCAATACTCAAACTTTTATACTTGAATACAACAAATGAAATCAACATTTAACTTTTAAATTCATGAAATAAATCATGAATAAATTATTTTTTAATTTAATTAACTAAGGCGACATCATTTTATTTATAGGTCGAAAATCGATCATGTCGTTCATATCAGTGGTATTCACGCCGGTTTCATGACCAGTATCGATTAGACCAGGTTCAACTTGCCGGCATTCCATGGGCATGACAACCATGGGAAATATCATGGTCTACCATAGGGTGCATAATTAGATATGACAAATTGGTTTTGAGGAGGGTTTGGGAAAACGTACCGTACTGGCAGTTCGATTGAAAATCCTCTATTTGGAGTCTAAACAGGTAGGCGGTAGTTAGAGGTATTAAATGGTTGAACCACGATTTCAACATAAAATACTCTATCACTAACTTTTCATGTACAACTCGTAGTACGATTTTACAATCTTTGGTTTTGAGTGGAATAAGATAAACAGGGTGAGACTAAAAGATTTTTGGTTATTTTCCTAAGTTTTTAATTGAATTTTATTTTCATTGTTTTAATCTGAATTTTAAAGAAGTTGCACATATGAAATGAGTTAAATTCACTGTGACCTACAAAATTATATTCATTTTTTTTTTATCTATTTCAAGAAATATTTCGTACCACCTTTACACCACTTTGTACCATCTTCATTTTTTACTCAAACTTTAAAAAATATTGCACAGAAAGAAAGGTTTCATCGCGATCTATTGTGACCTACAAATTTTTACAAAATTAATTCAGGATAAAATATTATCATACACCACCTTGTTAGATGATGGTAACTGATGGTAGAAATAGATCAATGCAGTCATAAGCGTGATTTTATGTAAATGCCATGTCAATGCTTGGAGAGAAACAATGTACTTTCCTTATAAAAACCTAAATTATACCTATCAATATGTATAACACATGTCAATGACAACCCATTACAGAAAGTATTCAAATAAACAACCATTATAGCTTAGTACCTAAACTATCTAGTCATCAATCTTTAGTCCTTCAATGACTCCTCGCATGTTGAAGCGTGAATGTCCATACGTTTTAGCTTGAAAATCAAACCTGAAAACACAAAACTTTTGATAAAGAATGTGAAAAGTGAAAACATAGCTAGTGATATCTGGCCGGTGACCTTGATGGGTTCTGAGTTGTATGCGTAAACGCCCATTTGTAACATATGGGCTATATATAAGGGTAGTCCGATAAAGGGTACAGTCTATAGACCACAATTCGTTATTTCAGATTGTTCCGAAGTTGGGCCAGGCCACGGTTCTAGACAACAACACCATTTGATCCATGCCAGTCTTTTTTTCCCCCATTATTTATCCATGTCAGTCAGACTCACAGTCACAGAAAGCGACTTTCCAGTTTCCCGTTAGGCGGCCATCATCGTCTCTGTTCCCTTCCTCATCGTCTCAAATTCACATGCCCCTACCTGGCCCCTTCTTTTCTGGTGAGGAGACACATTGCGAATCACAATAATGGCCGTCCGCAGAGGTTTTGGCTTTAATGATTTGATTCCATTCTACTAAGAGAAACCCATCCTCATCCTTACCCAACAACCAAATCCAGCTTCATTTGCTTCTTCTTACCCAAAAAATCAAACCCAGTTAAACTGTGTGGGAGGAAGCAGAGAGTGTTATTGGGTTGTTTCCTTTCCTGCAGCTGAGCCTGGAAGTACTACTCTACTGCTCAATGGCCAAGGCACTAACTAGCCTTTACGAAAAAACGACCTAAAGTTCTTCACTTTTTTAGTTTTTCCTAGTCAACTAATTTCTTAAGTATAGGTCGATTGGGTAAAGCATCCTACTTTAGAGAACACAATGACAATTGAAGCCTATACTAGCCAAATTCATAAAACAAGCAAATAGTGTGTTTGTGATCACCAAAATAATAACAAATCACTTGTTATTATGCAGTGGCGTAGCCAGACTTTTATGAAATTGGGATCCTTAAAAATTTACTAATACTAAAACATATGTATCTAATGAACTTTGAATTGATTGGGTCCTTAGATAACTAACATCAACGAGAGTATGAGGTACTAAACATGAAGAATCATACTAAACCCTACGGTTTTAAAGAATTTTATTGTCCAATTATTTACCAAGTGGGGTCCTAGGACCCCACTCCTCACCACCTCCCTCCGCCACGGTTCTGATGGCCAACGCGATGGTTTTATCGCACCCGATGGGGAGGGCTATCCTGTAATATGTTTTGGTACTTCGATCATCAGTTTAGCGTGCTACGTTTCCTTTCCCACCTCGTAAGTATAACATGTATGTACATTTCATTGCAATAAAGGCCTTTATATCGTTGGGTCGTACACTTGTGTACCAGTTTTTTCTTCTTCTTGCAATGTTCTTGTATATTTTCGTATCTACGGTTGTTTCCCCGTATGATACCTAGGGGAAAAAACAACAAATGACTTCCAGATCTCGAATCCAAGACTATCTGCACCTGCATCTTTATCATTTTCACCACATTTTAATGACCCTTTGTCCAACTTCTCATTCCTATCTCGCCCATTTCTCGAATTGATCACCCACAATGCTCTTCCGGGTCAACTCTACTCATCATCAATATGCTTGATGGAATGATGGGCAGCAGTAGAAATGACCTCATTTACCTGCCTTTTCCCCTTGTTACCATAATCAATCAATCCCACCAAAAGGAAATAAAATGGGAGTAAATTGGAAAACCTCCATCTCTATCTCGGATACCTGCAATCCATGGCTCGGCCGCAGGTTGTACGACTCCTCTGTCTTCCATTTCTATCTTGGGTCTAAATCAGTCATTTCTCCAGCATTGCCACCTTTGTTCTTTTCTCATTGTTTGATTTCCCACTCTGAATCACTGCAGTGTACAAATCTTCAATTTTCCGTTCTTTTTTCGCAACATTAGTTTCTGATTTTTGTGTTCATCGTAGGAAGAGGAAGGGTGGCCACTGCGGTCACAGTTGCAGCCCCTGAATGCGAGAGTCGTCACAGGGTCGGTCTCCTTCAACACTTTTCTCACTGCTTCCCCCACCTGCTCTGAATCAGATTCCTCTTCTGGTCTTGACACTGAGGTCAGTGAACAACACACAGTGCCCTTCGAAAATCATCTATACCTCCTTTTAACCTTGCGCAGTAAACAAAAAAGGAGGACACTTTCCTTTAGTTATGGTGCTGCTGCCATCGGTCCTGTGTGTTTTCAGTTTCCACTTCAGTCTACATTTTGAGGATGTTGGAGTCATGTGATTTGGTACTCAGGAGATTATACTTGCCCCACCTTTGGCTTTTGTTTGTCCCTTTGTTTTCTTCCCCCATTTAGTGAAGTTGAACTCTGCCCAAAATGTTTGTTTCTTAAACACGGCCAAATTAGGGACTAATTGGGAATAGATGGGTGCCCCAACCCTGGAAAGCTGTCATTTAGCTTGAAAGGAATGCATTTAGCCGCACGTGCTAACATAGTTGGATTGCCCTATCGTGTGTGCTTTTAGTTGTTAGATTAGTGCGATAAAAGCATTCTTAAATAAGTCTAGCCCAAATGACCCGATACATGAGAATGTACGGCGGTACGAGGCCATCCAACAATGTCAATACGCGCCTTCTTAGAGGGTATCATGGAATTTGGGATTATCTTTTTCTTGAAATTGGTAGAATTTGGTATTGGACTAAAGGTCAAGAGTTGGAGGACAGTAATAGTGTCAATTCAAGGGAGGCAGCCCACAAGTGAGCAGGCTGCAACCTGTGGCCACAGTGAGTGGATGGAGTGATGATGTGTTGCTGAGGATGTCACCGTCGTTTGTTTGGGAACTTGTCAGATGTTTGGTTTTTGCTGATGTGATCTTAATTTCTGGTGTTGATTGAATAAATAGTGGATTGGCATCCATCCCAAGTAGCAGACGTGTCCCTGCAGTTAGCCCATGTGGGTTTTGGACAGCTAAACAGCCATCTCCATCAATCTCCTTTCATACATATTTCTTCAGATATTTCTTCTGAGACCAATCAATAATGCATCGCTACAGTACTCTCAAACAATTTGAGTACTAGTAGAAAGAACTGATGAGTTTCAACCTCAATCAGATTAGAAACAGAAGTAGTTACTGAGTTGTTGGAGCTGTCTCGTTAAAGAATGTTATCTTTCATTATAATAACTTAACATTTGAGGAGCTGGACAGTTTGACTTGGAAATCTAATGTGTAATAGCAAAACCAATGTGTTTTTTGTCCCCCAGTCCACAGGGTCTTTCTTCCATGATAAGAGCATCACATTGGGTAGCCTCATTGGGGCTTCCAGCATATTAGAACTGTCCAGGAAATCGACGAGGGGAAAGAAGAAGATCAAGGAACCAGTGAAGGAGAAGAAGGGTTGCGGATCGAAACCATGGTTATTCTCCTTGTGTGCAAAAGACCCTGCTCGACGCTTGAACAGCAATGCAGGCAGTGGTCCATCTCTGGGCCATTTTCTTGCAGTGGAGAGAAGATCTCACTGGACGCAGCAGAGATTAAAGCCCGAGAATGCTCTACCATAGTATCTGTTTATGTGCCCCTAATGAGCTAGTTCTTTGTGTGTCATCACTGAGTTCTGAAAGTGCCAAATTCAGCCATTTTAAATGGCTTTCTTGTGTGTGTCATCAAATGAAACCCTCTTAGCTCCTTCCAACTAGCTCATTGGATTTTCCTGCTGTTGTTTCCTGTCTGGTGTGCTTTCTTCCCCAGTTCACTGTCAATGTATTTTGTGCATGAATTCCCCAGTTCACTGTCACTGTCAATGCATTTAGGATCACATCTGACATTTCAGAAACGTAATTCGCGTTTTTCCATCACACAGGCCACAATGATCAATCCATCATCAGATTGATGGATGAGGACGCACCCACGGTGGTTACCATTCAATACCAATCCCACCACGATGCCGTCTCACTAAAGCTTAGAAGAAGTGTTTAATCCTTTGCATATACTGTTCACATTCATCAAACCACACATTCAACAATCAAAAGGAGACAGGCAACTAACTCACAGATCTGACAAATGGTGCCACCCTGCGTTCATCATAGACATGGAAGAAAAGTTTAGTATTGAGGGCCTCCAGCCGAGTTAAACCGAGGAGGTTCGCTTTAGGTCTCAAGCCAAGTCAAGGTTCCCATCACCAAATACTTGCTCGGTAGTTCACCCGCAGTCGGTGACAGGTATGTCATTTTCCTTCTGCAACATGTTTGTACATACCACTTCAGATATATAGGCATAATCCAGAACTTTGGATAACAGAGGTTTCAAGTAGTAGAAAGCAGATAAAGCTCTCACCTCTGAAGATCAATGCCAGTCACGTAGATGAACCCAGCAACATTACTGTGAACCAAAACAATTAAGTACAGTACCTCTGAAACCCAACGCTGACTAGGATTTCTGTTAAATACTAACGGTCAATGCTGGTCAACACTAACGGAAAAATAGTTCAGGACACAGATGGAATATTGGAAACAATAGGACACAAGTGACATTTTTCGGATAGTTCGGGTGATGTAGTGGTATTAGCCCTAAAATAAAAAATCAATTAAAATGTAATTCAATGTAGCGTAAGTGTGTACCACATTTCATTTTCATTCAAAATAAGATCTTTCTACCAAAAAAAAAAAAATAAGATCTACACTAATACCATGACATGTTTAATATAAAATTAGAAACAAAGTAACAAATTTTTTTCAGTAATTAACAAACTAACAAATTAATAATGCATCTCAAGTCAATATTATGTAACTCATTCTAATTTCATAATTTAAAAATAAATACCTAAGAACTCGGTTTAATATCACAAATTACAGACATTTTTAGAAGCAACTATTTAATAGGGTATTTAATTAAAAGACTAAAATTTGCTAAGAGTAGGTTTCAAACCCAAGACTTAGAAAGAATAAGTAAACACTGCATCCGCTGGACTGCCAAGTATTATTGTGTTAGTTTGGTGCACTGTAACATATTTAATTGTTCTTCAGTTTATACGAAAATCTCAAAATGCTAGGAATGTTTACACGTAACTTTCGAAATTCTCGGGGGGTCGGGCCCCCCCGAGAGCCTACCTAGCTCCGCCCCTGGTTTGGTTGCCCATGGTACTTTGATGGAGACCTATTGATTTTTGTTGAAGCTGGCCTCAATCGAAAGATAAAGCTCGATGATTTGTTTGAGGTTGAAATATGGGTATGAGTCCTGGATATACCTCCAGCCGACCGCAATCATGGGATGGCAACAAAGGTAGCAAGCAGATTTGGAAGATTCTTACTATTCAATGAGTGGAACTCGGGGATCTGGAGCTCCTTTATGAGATTTCGTGTGGCAAAAGACATAAACAAACCAATAAGGAAGACGATCAAGCTTGAGATAGAAGGGAAGACTCAAGTTTTTGAAGCAAAGTATGAAGGCTTCCAACTTTTTGCTTCTACTGTGGGATCATTGGGCACCCAAAGAGACTGTGTAAGATACACGATCCCTCAAAAGAAGATGCTTATGGGCACTGGATAAAAGCAGGGCCCCTTCCTAAGGGACCACGAATGTCAAAACAAGATAGAGACCAGGAATCTAAACTGTGGATGTCCCTTCAAAAGGAATTTGGAACTATGTCAGCAGGTTCTCAACAAATTTCCACAACAGTGGCTAAGGAAATAACCCCGTTCATGGATTCAATAGTAGGTTTGACTGAAACAGAAAAGCTGGAAAGAATGGGAAAGGAAGAAGGACCCCCAGATTCTTATGAAAGAGAAGAAAGCTCAGAAAAGATTTGGAACGAGGAGCAAAGAGTAGCAAACAGTGAGCTACTAAAGCAGTTCAAGGATTAGTTGGCAGCTAGTCGAGCAAGACCAACAGAGAAGGAGGAAGACAAACCCAAAGAGAAAGACATTAGTACTGAACATTAGGACAAGAAAAAGGAATGGGTTTGGAAACGACAGGTTCAGAAGAAGGAAAGACCTCAGGGACTCACTCAAAGTCAAACAGGTGGGTCTAAGAGGGGAACTGGGGAAGACCATGTAACAGATATGGATATTGATACTAAGAAACAAAGAACACATGATATGGATGGCGATGAGGCAGACTCTACTAAAGGGCAGAGCCGCCCATCCCAATGAGTGTCTTATGTTACAACTGTCGTGGGTTGGGGAACCCCACGACAGTGAAGAGGGTAGCAGAGCTACTGCGCCGGAAGGACCCCACTTTTGTCTTTCTTATGGAGACAAAGAAACAGAACCATGAGTGGGAACAAGTAATGCAAGACCTCGGCTGGACTCAAGGGAAAGGATTGGGATAAAAAAGTAGAGCTGGAGGATTAGCTTTACTATGGAAGGAAGAGTTGAAAGTGACGGTGAAGGATCAGTCTAGACATTTTATATATATCTTGGTAGAAGAATCCGACACATCCAAGAATTGGCGTCTCACAAGTATATATGGATGGTCAGATCAAGGAAAGAAACATAAGACATGGGCTCTAATGAGAAGACTGCATGACAAGTTGACTTACCCTGGCTTCTCTGTGGGGATTTCATTCAAGTACTGGGATACGAAGAGAAAAATGGTCTAAGGCCACCTGATGTTCATCATATGGAAGAGTTTAGAGAAGCCCTGGATGCATGTAGCTTGGAGGATTTGGGGTATATTGGCAATGACTTCACATGGGATAATGGTCAAACAGATGAGGGATATTTAGAAGAGAGATTGGACAGGGCTGTGGCTAACAATAAATGGAAGGAACTCTTCAAATTTGCACAGGTTTACCACCTGGAAAGATGGGTTTTAGACCATCTCCCCATTCAAATTGAGCTACACTTACGTGAAGAGAGGCCTAGATGAGGCTGGTGGTTTCGCTTTGAGGCATATTGGCAGAATCACCAGGACTGCCCCCAAGTAATAGTGGAGGAATGGAAAAAGGATGAAAGGAAGAGTATGGAGGAAGGATCAGGGAATGTGATAAAGCTTTGCTTAAATGGAGTAGGGAAACTTTTGGAAGCATAAAACGCAGAATAAGGAAGGCAGAGAGGATACTGTAGACTTTGAAAAGAAGGAAAAATCAGGCAGTTCTACTGCAGAGAAGGGCCCTGGAAAAGGAATTGAGTGAACTTTATTACCAGGAGGAATTGATGTGGAAACAACGTTCACGTGCAGATTGGCAAGGGGGGGATCAAAATACTAAATTTTTTCATCGAAAAGCCACTGAAAGGAAAAAGAGAAATACTATAAAGAAAATACAGGGTATAGATGGCACAACCTATGAAGGTCAAGAGGGTGTTATGAAGGGGATGGTGGAGTATTACCAGACACTTTTCAAAGCAGGACCACGTTCATCAGGAAGTGAAGTTATAGATGCAGTTCAAAGGAAGGTAACAACCGAGATGAATAATTACCTGTTGAGACCGTTTCAAGAAGAGGAAATCTGGGGAGTTTGAAGCAAATGGCTCCGCTGAAGGCCCCTGGACCAGATGGCATGCCTGCACTCTTTTTTTCAGAAGAATTGGCAAACAGTGGGACCTGTAATCACAAAGGAACTACAGTCAATCCTTGAAGAAGGATCAATACCAGAGAGTCTTAACCAAACCCTTATTGCTCTGATTCCAAAGACAAAGATGCCCAAAACTACAATGGAATTCAGGCCAATAAGTCTTTGCAAGGTATTGTACAAAATATTATCAAAAGTACTTGCAAATCGACTAAAGGGAATCTTAAATGAGGTTATCACGGAGAACCAGAGTGCTTTTGTACCAGGAAGGTACATCACAGACAATATTATGGTGGCTTTTGAGTGTTTTAATGCGATGAAAAACAGGAAAATGAGGAAGAAAGGCTACATTGCAGCTAAGCTTGATATAGCAAAAGCTTATGACAGTGTTGAGTGGGATTTCTTGGAAAGAATTATGCTCAAGCTTGGTTTTGACAGTAGGTGGGTCAGCTTGATTATGCAATGTGTTAGAACTGTGTCCTATTCAATTCTGGTCAATGTCTATAGATCTGAGATAATTTTTCCAACCAGGGGGCTAAGGTAGGGGGATCCTATCTCTCCCTACCTGTTCCTAATGTGTGCAGAGGGGCTATCAGCTATCACCAATAAAGCTGTGGAGGAAGGGAAACTTAAAGGCATTCATATCAATGCTAATTGTCCTACCATCTCCCACATGTTCTTTGCTGATGATAGCATTTTTTTTCTTTGAAAACAAGAGGGAGCAGGGAGAAATGATGAAACAGATCCTGAAGAAGTATGAGGAAGAATCTGGTCAGCAAGTCAGTTTGTCTAAATCTGAGTTGTCTTTCAGTAGTAATGTGGTGGCAGAGGATAGGGATGAAATGGCTACCCTACTGGGGATGAAGCAAGTGCTTTTCCATGACAAGTACCTAAGCCTACCTACTACTATTGGGAGGTCTAAAAAGGCAGTGTTCTCACAGCTAATTGACAGGGTTAGAAAGAAAGTTAAGATGTGGAAGAGCAAAACACTATCCAATGCAGGGAAGGAAGTATTGATTAAAGCAATAGCCCAAGCTCAAAGCACCTATGTTATGCCTGTCTTCTTAATTCCGCAGGGAGTGATAGAGGAGATTCAAAGAATCATTGCTGGATTTTGCTGGGGACAGAAGAATGAAGAAAGAAGGATACACTGGATGAGCTGGGAAAGGCTTAGCAAACCGAAGAGTGAAGGGGGTATGGGATTTAGAGATCTCCATGGATTTAACAGTGCCCTCCTTGGAAGGCAAGTGTGGAACATAGTGAAAAACCCAGGTTCCTTGGTTGCTCGAGTGCTGAAATCAAAATATTACCCTCACAGTGATATAATGGAGGCTGAACTAGGGAGCAATCCTAGCTACATATGGAGAAGTTTGATGGCGGGGCAGGCGAATTGGAAGCGGAGATCAAGTTTGTGTCTGGTGGGATAAATGGGTCCCTAGTAGCCCCAATTTTAAGATTGAATCACCGTCTCATCACTGGGATTACAATCAAGGGGTCGAACCTGATAGAAGCGTCAGACAGGAGCTAGAAACAAGACCTACTGCAGACTCATTTTCAACCAATAGACAGTGAAAGAATCCTACAAATCCCTTTGCGGAGAAATCAATGAACAGATGTTCGGGTCTGGGGGCATGACAGGTTAGGAAAATACTCTGTGAAATCTGGTTATCATGTATGGAAAAGGAAGAAACAGGAGAACCAGGGGGAGATGTATATTCTAGCGAACTGGAAAAGGATGTGGCAGCTTCAACTACCACCAAAAGTTCGTGTATTCCTATGGCGTTGGGGAAGTAATATCCTACCAACTGGAGGCAACCTTACAAAGCGTATCCAAGAGGCTAGTGATGAGTGCCCTTTCTGTGGCTTAAAGGAAACCCAGGAGCACATTTTAAGGGATTGTGATTGGGCAGGAAGGGTTTGGCATCCCAGTTTCATAAAGCAATTGCTCCTAATGGGGGAGTCAAGGACTACAGAGGAGTGGTTGTGTGAACTCGGTGACAATTCCACAAATGAAGAGTTATGCTCAATGGTTATGGCCCTATGGTTCATGTGGAAGGAGCGCAACAACCACCTCTTTAACAATAAGAAGCTCGAAGAGCGGGAAATCATAGAAAGGTCTCAGTTTTACCTGGATGAATATCGGAGCGGAAACCCTGAATCCGACCGAGAGAGATTGCCAAGAACGATGGTGCGGTGGGAGAAACTGGAGAGAGGAGCTCTGAAGGTGAGTGTTGATGCGACAAAACTGAAGGAGAAGGGTACATGGATGGGGATGGGGATGGTGATAAGGGATGATGAAGGGAAGTTCATCTTATCGGCGGTGAGAAGGACAAGAGTGGATTGGGACCTTGAGATGGCTGAAGCTCAGATGTTTCTCTAGGCGATGGAATCGGATTGCCAGTCTCTGATTCTGAAGCTAAACAAGGAGGAATCAAGCGAGATGGAATTGGGGGTGGTGGTGGAAGAGATTAAAGCAGTAGCTCAGGAGGAGGGTGAAGTGCGGTGGAGATTTTGTGGGAGAAATGGGAATGTAGTGGCTCACGAGATGGCTCAAATTGAGTGTAGGTGGGAGGAGACTGAAATTTGGTGTGAAAGACCTCCACTTTGGTTATTTCGTCCTTGTTGAAGGACTATAATGACACTTTTACGCACTAAATAAAATATGCAGATTTGAGTTGTCAAAAAAAAAAGTATCATTTAATTTTATGGTGTATTTGGTTCAATATGTTTGTACACTGATGTTATTTGTCTCAATTGAATTCTATAGTGTCAGGTGTATTTGCAAAAAAAAAAACATCATTTGGTTAATATATCAAAAGATCAACAACAACAACAAAAAAAACATTCTATTTATCAAATTGCATATATATATATATATTTGCAATTTCTTTTTAGAACATTTAATACATTGAAAGATCAACAACAAAAATTGTATTTATGAAAATGTTAGACAATGTGCATCCGGGGAATCGAACCCCTGTCAGTACCGTGGGAGGGTACTATGATACCACTACACTAGATGCGTCTTTGGTTCACATTTGAGAATTTGAAATCAATCAAATAAAGCTGAGAACTCGACATCAGACCGATCATCCACGAGTTAGCACGACATTGTACGAGCAAAAATACTTCATGAGTCGTGCCGACCATAAGCTTCATGTGCACTGG